GTCACGATACTCGTCCAATGGAATGCATGTTCGTGAGTGCGAAAATGAAGATGATACCACAACAAATCTGTAATCATTCCTTCCGTTACCTGAGGTGTGAGCGAAGGTGAACTCAACGATCCATGAGTCAACACCACAACGTATGACGGTTCCGACATCCACCGGATCTGGGCGAGTTCCTGCCCCGTTCGTATCCTTTCCTCTTTTCGTGATTGACTCATAGTCGAATCTTTTCATTCAAGATGAATTCGATAATAATGACAATAATATTAGTTATAGTAATAATAATAATAATAATAATAATAATAATAATAATAATAATAATAATATTTATTACTAGTAATAATAATAGTATTGAGCGTATGCAAGTCATATTTCCACCTGGATACAGACAGAGTAAGGGCGCATAGTCCTCCGGGAATCAGTCACCCATTTGCCCCGGCAGCGACTCACGAGCCGCCTCAGTAATCCTCTCTCTCTCTCTCTCTCTCTCTCTCTCTCTCTCTCTCTCTCTCTCTCACTTTCTCTCTTCCTCTCTCTTTTTGGTCGAATCATGAACGTTTCACATGTTCATACTCTATCGATAGGACGAACAAAAACGGAATGAATCTTACGCTGAAACGGGGGAATATACAATGTCACTTTTCTACTTGCTCGTTCTATCGACCCAAAATCTTCCGCTGAAACGTAGAAATATACACTGTCACTTTTTGATTTGCTCATTCTATCGACCTAAGTAACGTGCGGCGAGCCACGTGTAGGAAACCAAGCCGTCTCTCTCTCACACACACACACACATACACACACACACACACACACACATTCCATCAATAGGATGAGCAAGAGCGGAATGAATCTTCCACTGAAACGTAGAAATATACACTGTCACTTTTCGATTTGCTCATTCTATCGACCCAAGTAACGTGCGGCGAGCCGCGCGTAGGAAACCAAACCGTCTTTCTCTCTCTCTCTCTCTCACTCTCACACTCGCTCACTCGCTCGTAGCCTGTAGATATCGTGAAGTCAGGTAGCAAGAGGGCGAGGGAGAGATGGAGGACTTAGAGGAGGAGGAGGACGAAGAAATCTCTCTCTCTCTCATACACAGCCGCGCAACTGAGCGAACGGGTAAAGTCGTGCACATTCCCGTATTGTAGTTGTAGATTCGTTCGACTTAGTTAGACTTATAGCGGGAGGTCCGCCACGCGATCGGGTATAAGCACACACTCACACGCTAGCGAATCTTCCCTCATTCTGGTGATAGATTCATTCGATTTATTTTATTTATTTCTTTATTTATTTATCCATTATTTTTAATTATTTATACTACTCTATCGATGCATCATAAGGCAAGCCGCGGATCGAAGGCTTACCTGTTTCTTGCTCCCGCTCCATGTCGTCGTCGATCCGTCGTAGTCTTTGCTGCCACCGTCCCCTGCAACTGCTGGTAAGTTGCTCCTTCTTATTTTTTCCCTTCCTCCCTTCTTCTCCTCCTTCATCTTCTCCTTCTTCTTCTTTCCTCACTACCTCTTCTCCTTCTCCTTCTGTATCACTCTCCTCCTCCTTCTTCCCTTCTTCTCCTTCCTACCTCTCTTCCGTCGCGCGTTTCCTCTCATCTGTCCGCACGCTCGCCCTCGCAAGCTTTCGCTCACACGCTTCTTCCTTCTTGCTCGTACGCACACTTTTCCTCAGCGCTCGCTCTTACTCGCACGCATGCTCGCTCTTTCTGCTTGCTTCCGCTCGTCTGGACTTTCGCACGCCTGCACGCTTACACGTTTGCTTGCTCGTACGTCTGCACGCCCTTCACTCACGCGCCTCTCTCACTCGCATATTTGTCCCTGGGCACTTGCCCTTCCTACATCTATTCCGCGGGGATCTCCCCTTCACCCCAAATCCTCGAGGAACCGAGACCCTGGCGAGGTGCACAGTCTGTGGGTCTCACCTCACTACATTTGCGGGTAGCATAGGTGTCAATGAATCTGCCCTTTTGTCGGAGGTAGATTCATATGAGCCTTTATCAAAAATGGAGATCGGTTAGAATGAATCTTAACTAATAATGGTAAAAAAAAAGAAAAAGAAAAAAAAAAAAAAACAAAGAATCTAACCACTAACTTCCAGAGCAGACCAAGTGTCAGGCTCCCATTACGCACGGGTGAGAACCTAAATAACTAACTAACAGTGAACTACTTTCGAGCCTAAAGTCACGGGATCGAGCCCAGACAGTCCGAGCGCGGGGTAAAACAAAAGAAAACTCCTTGTTAAAAAGGAGCTAGCCCGAAGGCCGGAGGGATTCGTTCCCTAAATCAGTCCGTTGATAATCCGCATCTATACCTATTGGGCTAGCTCCTACTTCGGTTAGAACAGGAGCTATTCCGCGCTAAGTAGAGTATAGGCTTGACCTTTCAATTACAACAGGCTTACGGTCTGCCCTCATAGGCTTAATTTAGGCCTGTACCGGCTGCCGTCGCCTTAGCATGGCAGACAGCATGACTCTCTTTGGCCCTCTCGGCCACAAGGCCGGGGTGTATACTAACTTTCTTTCTTACCCAAGTCGGGGGAGGGGGCGGAATATTATTCCCACTCCCTACGGCGTTTTGATGCTTTAACCCGGTGTCCCGCTTTCTCACCCACTCGACTTCCTTTCGTTAGACTAACCTTCTGACCTCAGTGGCAGACGGTTTAATCACTAACCGTTCTCCAGTTCTTTGTACGGCTCAAAGTGACCCGTGCGGTCTTTCAAATTTTTAATTCATTAATCTTTACCGTCTCTGCGTTCGCCACGACAATGCGGGTGAACATCCGAAAAAATCTTAACCACTGACTCTAGCTCATGCGCGCTGTGTTTCGGCGCTCGTGCCATCAAAAAATTCTCGACCACAGCGGCTGAGGGATTTGCCTCATTTTTCATTTTTAGTCGTCTTTAATCTGTCGGTCGATGCCGACATTGTGTTGACCACAAAATCATGAGCGGATACCCTTGTAAGGGTATCAGCTCCGACAGTTTTCCCAGACCCCATTAAGCGACGTCCCCGTCGCTGGGGAATCTAAATGCAAAAAAAGACCCTCTGAGGCGACAAGTAGTCAAAACCCGATCCCCTGGATGAAGTTGCGCTTACTGCCAGGATTTGAACCTGGGTCTCCCACATATCCAAAATGACAATTCCCAAGAAAATATTATTCCATAACCCCCAAGTGGGCATATTGGATCTGTACTACATTTGCGGAGGTCACCAAGGAAGACAATGATAGCTCCTCCCACGAACTTTAGACTTTATTGTCAGGATCTCGTTGGGTGTTCGAGGAGTTAGGGATAAAAAATGAATCCCTCTCTTTTGGACGCGGGTCTTGATCTCAGTCAAATTTTACCGTCCCACCCGAAGTCTAATGCGACGGGATCGGCGACCTCGGCTTCAACCCACCACAACCGGTTGATCAGGCCGAAATTGCGGCCCACGACGTTGCTATTTTAGCGATGGTCCCCGTATTGGTTACGCAATATCAGATAGAAATCTCCTATCATTCTAGACCTGACTCTTGATCCCGCCGATATCTACCTGAACCAATTCCATCATTAAGGAGGCCTCCTCTTTGGTTTCAGTCCTAGGCCGTAATCGGAAGGCCCGCTGCCTGGTTGTACTTCGTCAACAATCCACGCTGGGAGTTACGTCCAAGCGATGCCAATTTTTCACCATAGACTTGGTAATTTCAAGTCCCTCAGACTGACGACCTAGAGTAGATGAATGATGATCATTTCATATATATAAAAACAATTTGACCAAAGAAATTCCTCGCCAGTTTGAATGAATGAACCTCTTTGAAAAATATATATAGAAAATTTAACCAATAAAAATGACATATCATGATTGTCATATGTTACTGAACGAGGGGCATTGTCAGAGCCACTTAGGGGTCGTGTTGCCCCAACCTCGATCACAGGCTGGACAGACACACGTCTCGGGGATCTTCAATCAACAGCCAAAGCCAACCAAATATTCATAAAAAAATAAAAAGTGTTTGTTTGACTCCTTGTCTTGCTAGAAGGCAGAAAAAAACAACCGTTTCATTCATAACATACATTCTCCTGTCTTGCAGGGTCTCAAATGAATCAAGGCCTTTATCTTTCTCACACCCCCTTTTTAGGGTTTTTTCTCAACAATAACAGCATGCGACAAAACATGGAATAATGATCAACAATGTCAAAGCACATTCAGATCGTACATGTCACATTTCACTTTATCTTTCTTGAACACTCAGGCGTTTTTGTGAGCATCCTAGTTCAAGAATTGATAATAGAGCTCGTACAGACTTCAAAGATACACATTCCATCAAAACAAGACAAGACACTGGACCAACTCAGTTGTGAAAGTGAAAGTGTCTCTCGTCGGCATACACTATAAATAAATTTAATAATATATGACTCAAGAGAAGGAAGATAAGGAAAAAACAGTCTCCCTCCTGAAAAAAAGAGAAAAAAAAAAATGATGGATGAAGTACAAGTCACATGTCTCTTTGTCTCTACTCACTAAGGTACATATGTCGAGCTAATCCCAAAAGGTTTCAAAATTTGTTGACTCTCTTCTGCTGCTAAAGTACGCTACCATGTCCCAAGGAAAGAGACCACATTTATTTTATATTTCTCACCCACAGTGTACAAAGCCTCGCTGGGAAAAGAACGAAGTTTGAGTGGTTGTAAAGAACATAGGAGGTCAAGGTACATATTTTCCCCCTAGTCTATCATGCTAAGGTTCAATTGCCTATACAACTGAGCCCTGAATCCGTCCTTGGTCTTCTTAATAGGGTTCTCATCCCTATCAATCAACTTCTTGTTCTCATCCAACTTTACCAATCCTTTTTCCTTATCAATCTTAAACCCTAGGCATTCTTCTCTCAGATGCATCCCTTCCATGCAATACCAACACAACTTTATGCCATCACAACTTGGCTTTTTAGCAGAATGACATGAAATCGCTGCCTCCTTCTCTCCACCTGCTTCCACCATCTCAGAACAAGGTCCCTTTTTACTATCTCCTGATTCACCTTCCTAAGAAGAATTTACAACAGTGTCAGATGTTAGTATTTCAACCAAATTGTTAGCAGAAGCTGGAATGACAGTAGGTTGATCGTTGTTCTCCCCTCTTTGTCCCAATACTTCTCTGCTTGCTCCCCCTGGGCCTTATCCTGGTGCATGAGGTGTCTCTGTTACACTCCTGATCTCAAATCTCAGTTCGTCGTTCCATTCAGCTATTTTCGTAGGCATCTCTGTTTCTCCTTCTTGACTAACCTTCCTAAGAGCCTCCATCTTCTTTTCCTGCTTATTGACCTTCCCTTCCAGCTTGCCAACTTCCCTCTCCAACTTTTCTCGTTCAACCTTCTTTTTCTCCACTTCCTTGTTCTTACTACCCAAGGCAATGTTCAACAACCCCACTTGCTTCTTGAGCTCTTGTTGTTCTTCCTTTACCTTGCTCATTTCAACCCTCATGCTTTCCACTTCTTTTTCCATCTTTTCCACTTGTGCATCTTTCATGATCTCAGGGATGTGACTTGCTACTCCATGAGTGAGTAACTCCTCCTTCTCTTTTACCCTTTCTTGGAGTCCTTTAATTGAAACCTCCATCTTTCCATCCTTGTCATTCCCTCTCTGGCTCTTTCCTGTTCCTTCCAATTTTTCATCTATCTCGGCTTCCCCCTCAAGGAGTCACTCACAGTCATCCCGAAGCAGCTCATGCAGCCGAATCAACTTGTCTAGGTTTGACCGTAGCTTAGAGCCCCTGACTGATTCAATTAACAAGATCCTCTCAATTTTCTTACTCCAAGGGGCATCTGCAGGCAACCCATCTTCCTTCATTGATGCAACCATTTTGTCCCTCCATTCCTTATTTTATTCCTCTCTCTTTTCTCTCCCTTCCTTTGTCATCCTCCTTGATCCTGGTTCCCTGAGAGGATTCTCTGTTGTTGCCATCCCAGTCTCTTTTCCTGTCTGATTCCTTTCCTCTTCCTTTTCTTCATCCTCCTTCGCGCATTCTTCCTCCTCTGCTACCTTGCTCACTTCCTTCTCCTCTTGTTTTCCACTTATCATATCTGATTCCTTCTCTCTTTCTTCTTCCCTCTCCTTCTTCTCTTTTGTGCCTTCTTTCTCTCTTGCTATCTCCTCCACTTCCTTCTTCCCTTCTTCTTCTCTCATCATGTTATGTTCCCTCTCTCCCTCTTCTTCTTCCTCGCTTTGCTTCTTCCCCCTGCCTCTTTTCTTCTCTTGCACTCTTGCGGTCCCGCCTGCTGATCCGTCTCCCTTCATAATTGTTGTCTTCTTTTGACAAACACCTGTTTGAGGGGTACATCATCCTCATCAACCTCCTGTCGAATTTTCCTTTTCAGCTTGTTTCTTCTTCTCTCTATCCACAATCCTTGTTCCTGAAGTAACTGCCTTTTTTTTTGTCTCTGTACGTCCAAGGTGTAAGTCCTTCTGAATTTGACAAGAAACCCTCCCCAGGTATCTGACTCCTCTTTGATCTTCTTCACATTCTCATAGTCCCTGGGGTCCACCCTTGTCATTACCTGTTCCAGTTTCTCCTTCTCATTCCACTCTTTATTTTCTGCACACAGAGCAATACTCTCCTCAAAATCCTCCACATTAGTCTCATCGAAGGTGATATCCTCCTCGATCTCATCTCTCCTCAAGTCTCCATATTCAGTCCACATCTCTGTCTTAAACGTCATCCAACCCAGGCAGTCAGTGGTAATCTCCTCAATCTTCAACTGACATTCCACCACACCATTCACCTTCTGCAACATGATCGGGGTGTCCCATTTCCTCCCAAACGCGTGATCCTCGAACTCCCTCAGGAACAACCTCAAATTGTCCCCCTTCTTGTAGATCGGCATTCCATCTGCATTCCTGGTTACCCGCGTGATCCCTGTCGTCGTTCCCTGCCAGAAGCTGGCCTGGAAGGCACCGCCACTCCTCCCTTCCGTGTCATCGCTGCTCCTTTTTACAGGATTAGGCCTGCACACAAAAAAAGGACGAGCAGAGTGGCAGGTGCAACAGGGTGTCAGCAGTCGGGTCACAATATCAGGTTCGCAAATGATGCAATCACAAGAGTTTTTAAGGAGGATTGAATTGACTTATTTTTAGGTTATTGACTCACCTCATTTCTTGTCCTGAACTTCTTCAACCTGGATCCAGAAACCCAATCTCGCCTTGGCGTTCCATCCATTTCCTCCAGCTCATACGCCCCATGATTCCCTTGACGTCGAACCTTGTACGGCCCCAACCATCTCTTATCCAGTTTCCTTGACCATTGTTTCTCAAGGGATGAGTCATACAACAGTACTACGTCCCCGACTGCCAATGGCTCAGTTCGTACGCGAGAAAGACGGTCCCATCTTTCCTTGTCTTGCCCCCGACTATCAGCCACCTTCTCGACTGCTTCCTGGATTCCTTCCTCTGTGACACTGACCTGTCTGGCTCGGATGTCAAACAACTTTTCAAGCGGCAGGTCGTTTTCAAGGTCCTGTCTCCGCCAGGTTTTCAGGAAGCTTTCTATTGGAAAGGTAGCATGTCTCCCATACCATAAGGTCGCAAGAGCATACCCCGTGGTTCTCCTGACCGTAATGTTTTCGACGAAGAACACAGTCCGTAGGAACTTAGGCCACAAATTTGGCTTCCCCGCTGTCCATTTTGCCAGTAAGTTCGTGATGGTGTTGTGCCCTCTCTCTACTGGTGCATTAGCTTGAGGATGTGCCCTGGTGGTGTACTTGGCGATTACTCCGAGTTCATCCAATAACTCTTTAGCCTCCCCACATATGAACTCCGACCCTCTATCGATCGTGAATTCCACCACGAAAGGATAACGGAGGTAATATTCTTTGATGCATTCGGCCAAGACCGCCCCAGTCTTGGTCCAGATGACGTTTCCATCAACAAATCCTGTGAGGTTGTCTCTTGCATCAAAGATGTAGTTGTATCCACCAAGTCCCAACGACATTGCTAACAAATCTAAGTGGACAACAACCCCCACTTCCTTGATATACCTCGGGTGAAGAGGTTCTTTATACATGATCGGCGATCTGACCTGGCACGGCACGCATGACTCGCAGTACTTTCTAACCATCTCGTACATTCCTTCCCAAAAGTAAAGCTCCGTCACCTTTTTGAGAGTAGCGGCAAAACCCCTGTGACCTCCAACAGGCCCGTCGTGGAGGGCAGCTATGACATCAATCTGTCTATTCCTTCCACAGATAACTCTCTAAGGTGGTCCTCTTTTATCCTTGATGAAGAGATGACCACCCCTTACCACATAATGGTCCCTCACGCGGAGAGTTTTCTCACCAACTTCCCTTTCTCGCTTGTCGCCGGAGGCAAGAAGTCTTATTTCCAAATGGAATCCATTGTACTCTTCTTTCCGGAAATCTTTTGAGATTTCGCCTTGCTCAAACTCCTCTCCCTCCTTTTCGTTATCAAATTCATAGTCATCTCCCAATATTATCTCATCCGCTTTTACCGTCTCTCTTTCTTCTTCGGTCCGGACTTGTAGGAGAGAGTTCACAAGGTAATGCACTCTCCCTACCATTAGTAAACGTTGATCCACCTATCTTGTTCCTGCCTCAATCGTGACCGACTCTTCTGTCAATCTGTAACTCACAGCCAAAGCTAACTCTGCCATCGATTCCCCATTCCTTTCTCCCCACAGATCCTCTTCGACGAAAGGTTTTAATACCAACCTTTCATCCTTCACAAAAGTCGTGGGTGCGAACCACATAGGTCTTCCCTCTTGCACCCCATCATCCTTGACTTTCAAGGCCCACGCGTTGACGTGAAGTTGCATATCATCCTCTTCCAAGAATCCGTCTACCGGTGACATCTCTTTCTTAGCTTCCCCAGGTTGTACCCATTTTATCCTGCTCAACCCATCTGCTCTGTTCTTATTCCCTGGAATGCGCTCCAACTGAAAATCAAACATCCAGATGTAGGTGAGTCATCTGACAACTGTAGGATATGCTGGAGAGAAGTTCCTAAGGGAATACATGAGGGTTGTCGGATCAACTCTTAGAATGAATCTTCTCCCAAAGAGATAATGTCTGAAGATCCGTAGGCAGCGTAATACTGCCAAGACCTCCTTCCTGAATTGGGAGTAATTCCTTTCAGTTGAGTTGAGAGTTCGACTCTCAAAGCGCAACGGTTTTTCCTTACCCTCATGATCCGCCTCTATCAAGACTCCTCCCAAGGCAGTGGATCCGGCATCAGTCTCTATCATGAAGGGGCGCTCTAAGATCGCCTCGTAGTCCAGAACTCCCAGTACCAAACCTCCTTCCTCAAATTCCTTCTTCAAATGTTTTACCACCTGCGCCTGCTTCTCTCCCCACTCTCATTCCTGGTTCTTTCTCACTAACTTCCTCACGTGTTCAATCTTAGCGGCAAACCCTTTGATGAATATTCTCCAGAACCCACATGTCCCAAGAAAATACCTCACCTCACCTACATTCTTGAATGGTGTCGGCCACTCAAGAATTTTGTTCGTTTTCTTGATATCCGGACAGCGATCTTGCTCATTACATACAAATCTAAGGGTCGCCTCTGTCATGCAATGTCTGGACTTAGCGTCACTTGCCGTGAGGTTGTGCTCCTGCAGGAGGTTGAACACCTTCCTGAGATCATTGACATGATCCCAGACTTTCGAATGTCAGGTGCAACCTCTTGTTCATCTTTTATCATTGGTCCCTTCACCGCTAGATCATCGATATAGGGTTCTGTGATCTGTGGACTAATTGGTTGCATAACCCTGACCAGACTCCTTTGAACCATGACTACCGCATTAATCCACCCCTGAGGTGCTACATTCATGTGGATCAGTCCCCTAGGAGTATGCATTGCAGTTATTGGCCTATCTGCCGAGTAGACAGAGAATTGGTCATAGCCAGAGTAAAGGTCTATAAGAAAAATAATAGTCCTCCCAGCACATGCTTCAGAGAGCTGATCAGCATTAGGGAGCCTTCCAGCATCCCTCACAGTCACGACATTCAAACTTTGCAAGTCCTGCACCCATCTCAACTCTCCGTTCGGTTTAATAAAGCAGAACCATGGTGAAGCATACGGCCCACTAGAAAACCCTGCCACGTGTGAATCAATCTTTTCGTCGAGATACTCCACTACTCTCCTCTGATCATCAGGATTTGGGTACCTGGCTCCTCTAACATTCCAAAGTTGATGTGGGACCGTGTGGATTCTGATCATCCCTACCTTGTCCACGTCTAACCTCCCTCTCCGATCATCATTAAAGGTATAGGCACAATGTTTCTCCCTCATTAATCCTATCACCAATGCCCTCTCTTGTTCAGTCAGGAACCCGGTTTCCCCAATAATCAGATCCGTTTCCATCTCCTCATTGATATGACATGCCTCTTCGTCCCATTTCTCTCTCATTTGCCTTATCAACTCTCTCTCTTGCTCATAGTACACACTCTCTTCGTGTGTTACTAGTACTGGGACCGGATGACTTTTCTTATCTACTGTCTTGTACCTCCTTTTGCCTCCTTGCTTGAGCCCGCCCCTCAAAAATGATGACCGCTTGAATTGGGCATATGGTCCCTGCATTTTTACATCTCGCGGGGGTGGCCTATATACCAAGTCCATTCTCCCTCCTTCGGGATACTTGCCCAGTCTGTCGGTCAAGGCCATGATGTTTTTTTTGTCGGTCATCTCATAGGCTGAGACCAAGCACATTGTCTGGTCTACATTAGCCAGGCTCAAAACCAGTCCCTCATTTTCTTCATCCTCATCTTCCTCGCCTGATTCCCACTCTAATTCCCTTGTCTTGTCCTCAAATTCTTCAAACGCGTAGGACCCCACGTTGAGACGGTTCTTTGAACAGTGAGGTCCCGTATTCGCATATGTGAGCACCTCGAAGTTCCCACATACTGGGTCGGACAATATTATGTACATAGTTCCATCATGTTTATTCATGATGAGTGCTTCCGACCTTCACAGGAAGGACCTCCCCAATAATATGGGAAGATCCAGACTTGGCATGATATAGAAGCAGAAACGGACCTTAATTCGCCCCACTTCCACGATGACGTTTGAGGCAATACATGTATAGCCTGACTTCCCACTGACCCAATTGAGGTACCCGAAGTCACTCTTATCAATTTCTAACCCCAGTCTCTCAGTCGTCTCTGAATTCATAATATTCATTTCTGCTCCAGTATCTAACATCCCGAGGCAACTCTTTCCTCTAATATTAACTTCAATAGAATCAGTCCCAACGAACTTCCAATCCATCTTGCTCCCTGCGATGGTCCAGTTCGCCTCTTTGAGAATTAAATCTCCCAACCTTACTGTCGCCACTATTTTTCATTCTAATTTTGCTTTAACTAACTTTCTGAGCTTCGGGGCTGTTGTCAAAATTTCCTTCAGATTCAACAGCTCGTTATGTCTGTCAAGAAGTCTATTCACCAAATTTTCCAACTCAACTCCCTCTTTAATAGAGGTTTGATATTTCCACTTTTTCTTTGTCTTTTCTCCGACCTTCTGATTTCCTTCCTTAACTCTTTGCTTTTGCTTCTTGGCTCTTTGCTCAACCCTCTTATCCTCTTCTTCCCTCAGCTGCTCATCCTGGTCTTCTTCTTCCTCGCCTATATCGATAGAGGGTTCCCCAGGAGGAGGAGGAGGAGGTGGAGCATGTTCCTGTTCCTTGGTTGCATTGCCTCCTTTTGCCCGACGAGCGGTATGTGGCACAAAATTTCCAAGGGCTTGGTAAACCGTTGCAGATCCTGCAGCCAAGCTAGCCCTTAGTGCCCTTGGATTTGATCTCGGGGTCTCTCTCCCCCACTTCCTTGATTCATCGTAAATACGTGCAAGGTTCTTAACTCCATAATTTTTACTTCCTCACATATACCCATCATTCGAGTATTTAGTCTTCCTATCTTACCTATCAGGTCTTCCATCCTCTCTAAGGTGTCTTTCGGTGACTCCCTGACTACTTCATCCTCTCTTGGTTCAACCTCAATGAACGGGGCGTCCTCCTCTTCCTGGTCTATCTTTAGTCCTTTCCTTAATTGTTCCCCCAACTCAGTCACTTCTTCGACTTTGATAAATGGATCCTCATTTTCCTGCCATATCCGAAACATGGCGGGGGCACTGGGTCCTAGCCCTGCAATCCTGAATGCCTCATTTCTCGTGCCTCCAGTGATATTTGGGTCGATGAGAGTGTCTCGCTTATCAAACACATCCCCATCCATGCTTGACGTAATTATCCCATCCTGCTCGTCCATCTTTCTAACATGGCATCTTTTCACGGTATGACCTTTGATTTGGCAGTGAGTACATGTACATTCACTGTAATCTACCCAACCTCGTCCAAAACCCTGACCATTTCACTGCCATCACTCCTACCGAACCCTCGGCTATAACTTTGGTTATAGCCTTGACCATATCCCTGACCATATCCTTGGTTATACCCTTGACCGACTTGGTTAACGTTCATCTGATTATAATTTCCTGACTGAGGGTCTCCTTGATTGCCCCAGTCTCCTCCTTGTCCGCCATGTCCTCTTCCTCCAAATCCTCTTCCACCTTGGATATTCCCTCTTCCTCCTTGACCATTTCCCCTTCCTCCGTTCCTACCTCTACTCTGTCCTTGTCCTTGAAACTGATTTTGGTTTTGATTACCTTGTGCCTGTTGCGCTTGTTGAGGCTGTTCTCCACCTGTCACTCCACCTTGCACTTGACCCGTTCCTTGTACTTGGGGTAGATTTGGATACATGCTCATTTGACCAAACCCCGGCCACTCACTTCCTGGAAAAAATCCAGGCAACGCACCCATAGGAGCCACAACCGGCCATGGGGCGAGTTGGGTCGCGGGAGCTTGTGCTTCTGACGTCCTAGCTTGTTGCGGATTCTGCACCTTGTCAGTTCCTTGTTTTCTCGTTGGTTGATTCTTAATCTTCTTCTGGGTTGTTTTAGCCTTGGTGGTCTGTTCCGACTCTTCTTCCTCTTCTTCCTTATCCTCTTCATCATCTCCTCCATATCTCCTTTTGTTCGTTGCCTGACCGACCGCCATTACCTTCCCTGGTGCCATTTGCTCCTTCATCTCCTTGAGCTGAGCCGCCATATTACTCAAGACCCCTCCTAAGGCTAAGTCCGCCCCCTGAATCGCGCTCACCTCCTTTCTTTTCTTTCTTTCCATCTTCACTTGGTGATGAAATACCTGGTCCAAATCTCCTGATGCTAATTTTTTTTTTATCGTCTCCCACGAGGTCTTTTTACCTGGCGCGCCTCCCCGTGTCAACTCCATCGCCTCATATCCTGAGAATTTCCCCAAGAAAATGACGCATTGCATCTCCTCGGAAAACCCTGGGACTTTCTCTGCCATCTTTTCAAAGGTTGTAGCGAAAGCCCCAATCGTAGTGAAATCGTTCTTATTCAAGTTGTGTAGATGATCGATTGTTAACAACCCATCATCCAACTTGTACTTTCGCTGCATCCCTTTATTGAATTCAATCTAATCCCACTGGGCTTCCGTGACGACATTTTCGACCTCTGAGCGATATTCTCATCATACATATTCATATAGGTGAGCAAATTTCTCAGTCGGTGTTAGCCGATTGAAAATCTGTTCCAGAAGTTCTAACCAGTGAGAAACTCGCTTTAATTGAAAAGGGAATATTTCTATCTTTGGCAGATGCGACCTTTTGACCGACCTACGTTCCAGTAGCCGCACGATCTCCGTGGCCGTGATGGACCCCTGTCCTCCATTGACATCTTCCATCTCCATAGTCCTTTAGTCAATCTGTCATACACATACAGAGACAACGAGTTTTCGGATCATTTTCTCAGTTTTTCTTACTTATCTTTTTAGATTTTTGCCTTGGGTATTTTACCCTTCCCAAGGTGTTATCTAAGCCCTGTCCTGCCCGTGGTTCTAACTATATTACATTTCTCCTCTTTTACTCATCTTCCCTTTGACATTGACTAATATACACTAATTTTCCTTGCTTCTGTGAGCCCCAGTTACAACTGTCTAATGAGACGGTGGTCATGCCAAAAACGGTCCTAATTCTATCTTCTTCCGCTTCTAGATTGCCTATCACTCTACCCTTCCAATTTCCTTCGCAGACAACCAATCCCCCGTCCAGGAATCATTCCCCATTCCGAACATTATCGGGATACCAAAGATGCATATCCCGATCTTCATTTCTGCTTAAACTTCCTCCAATAAGTTTGTCTTGGCTCCATACGGTGGACACGAACAAACGCATCTACCATGGACAGGACTTCCTCAAAATCTTTATCATCTAATTCTGACCTCATTTCCAAGTACAGGCAATAAAAAACTTGGGGCGTAAAAAACTCGCACCTCCCCAGAGGCACGGCTATGGCGGCCCGAGCTGCTCGTTCTACATTAGCAGGGCTGTTAAAAACTTCATCAATGATGAAGTCTGGCAGGGTAGCTTTTACGTAGTCGGTACGGTAGACGAATTTCGACGCGCACCTTGCTTCTATGATGGGTATAATCGATCGAAATTACCCCCACCTTTCCTCTCTGATCTTGTCCTCTAGGATTGTTCCAGTAATCAGGAGATACCTGGATAATGGTTGACTATGCCCCACTGCCGAGTCGATGTCGTGCATTCTCCACAAGTGCGACGAGAGGTAAAGGGTCGCTCGAACTATTATACTTTCTTGGTCCGGGGTATGCCCAAATTCTACACATACATATGCTTCTGGCCCAATCGGGGCTCCCCACCATGAGGTGATTTCCTTTTCTCTCGTGCTTAGTCCCTGGGGCAACGAGATCCTTAATCCCATCCTGGTTCGGATGGGCAGTTCAATCCCAATTCCCCGAGTAGCGTACGACATCTCGAGTGATTTCCTGGTAGCCTGTGAAGTGCAAAAGAAAAACAAAAAACACACAATACTCACGCATAAGTCCTACCTAGTCGTGCCATTCCTCCTTATATCATAATTAAAATATATCCTCTTTTTCTTAATCCCGTTCGAGTCACCTCCTTTACATTCTTGCCTCATTTTTTTTCTCTTCTTCGTCCCACTTATTTTCCCCTTCATCCCTCTGTAATTCACATAAGTAACGTCTTCCTTCACCTCCTTCCCTTCCTTACAACTTATGCCTCAGCACCTTACCCCATAATCGTTTTAGAATATAAATTTTCTCTCTTCTTCTTTCATTTATTCCGCCGTCACCCAATCCCCATACCAGAAGTTGTAGACTAACCCAAATATGATCGGAATGCCATCCACGCAAATTTCAGACCTCACTTCCTCTTTCAACTTCTCCCAGTACCCGAATCACTCTTCCATGAAATAAATTCTGGCGTACGCGTTTACGATGGACAACACGTTGCTAAAATCACTCTCAGTGAGTTCGGAGCCCATTTTCAGTTATAGGCAGTAAATCATGTGAGGGGTGGAAAAATCATACCCCCTATTAGGTACTTTCAGTGCTGCTTCAGCGGCCATCTCTACCCGTTCTTGACCAAAAAACACCTCTTCGACAATAAAATCTGGGAGCGTGGTTCTAATGTAACGGACCGGAAGAGTAAAGTCTTTAGCCGGAAGCATTTTGATTTTCTTTAAAACTTCACTTACGTCTACCCAGTGGCTTCCCCTGTTTCAACCTCTGAGCCTCACTTCTGCCATCCCTGTGAGCATCAATAGATAACCTTCTAAGCTTTGATTGAAATTTGACTCACAATCATGCCAAAGAATTGCAGCCAGGTAGATGGTGATTCTCACATTACGCCACTCCTCCCTCGTATTCCAACTCTTTTCTACCCACAAAAATGCCTTACTTAACAATGAGCAACCCCACCATGATTCACTATGTTCTGCTCGGCTCCTTTCTTTTGGCAGCGTCATTTCTAGCCCATCATCATTCCTAACTGGCGCTTCGACCTTGGACACTTGCTCCGCATAAGGCATCTTGATCAAATCCCGAAGACATGTCAAGGGCAAGCCAAATGACATCTTATTTTAACGTACTGCTCAGTTATTAATCTTTAGGTGTCCTCTCTATGGAATAACCTGACTTAAAGATAAGTACCTTTTTCCCGCAGTTTTTCTGGCAGACCTCCTTTTATCTTTTAGCTTTTCTCGGTTTGATCCCAGTAAAGATCATGAAGGTCCAAATTACCCTTTTCTTGATTCAACTCAGATGAATTCTCCTCACGTCTCTCCTTAAGTTAGCGATGAGAGGAACCCCCGTCTTCACCCTATCTTACTCCCCTTTTATGAGACTAGCCCGCAAGTTCTCCGATGCGGTATACAGGGTAACCCTCTCTACCGCACAGTTGTCCCCCTCATTTTATTTCGTCACCTCGTCCAACCTTTTAGACCCTTATATAATCTTTTTATACAATAAGTAAGCTACCAACCCGCAAATCTCTATTTGACATAATATAAACATCAAGAGGAATATGCACATCCTCCTATCAGGCGACGCAGACTGCGCGACTACAGGAGGGTCAGGCACGCGGGGTGTTGCTTGAGGCCCTTGCTGGTGAGGTTGGGGAAGGACGGTCAATTGCCGTTCTTGAGACAACTGATAAGAGCTATGATGTGGGCGGCTAGGCGGTTCGAAGCGTGGCGGTGACTCTCCGTAACGCCTTGCGTACCTATACGAATAGTAAGTCATTTCCTCTGGGTTCGGGGTATGCATGCGCCTCTCCTCCCGATACCTTTTTGCCCTCAATCCTTCCTCCTTCTCTTCTGACCCTTCATCATCTTCTCCCAGTCTCCCATTTCTTAGTCAAATCTATAGGCCTTTCAGGCGCCTTCCCTTGTCTGTCGCCTCTTCCTCTACCAGTACCGGTCCCACGGCCTTTACTCTTTAACTTTTACTATAAGTCGGGTAAGTGTACCTAGGTGTCAATTGACCTATACCTTACGCACTGATTTGTTGACTACTTGATACTAACAACTCGAGTTACCATATTCCACTTAGATTCTTAGTCAATTTTGACTTTGATAATCATCGTTTTGCCAGGATCTTGTCTTACCCGAGTTCGTTTAATGAGGACCTCGGCTAAGAAGCGAGATCCCCGGCTACGGTGCCACTTGTCGCGCGCGGCGGTCCCGCAGCCCGCTGAGGAGCGCTGAACCTCACGGTCATGTCACGCAGGATGTTTCGTCATAAAATAACCAGTCACCACTCCGACCGTGCGCGCGTGCTATACCTCTCACGACACCCCACGACAAGTCGGGGAGCCGCGAGGTACAACTTACCTCTACCCGAGGGGCTGTCACCACCCTCAGGTAGGCGTATCCCTGCCGTGCTACCGGCCCACGTGCAAAGGCTTTTACATGCCTTTGTAGAGATAGGTTGGCCGAGGGCGTTTGCTCGATCGCTGTAGCATAAGACGGGGTACGCGTGGTAAGACGCCTAGAACTGACCCGTTAGATATTCAGGTCGAACTTTTAATAAGGCAGTCTATTTCCGCTACTGTGTAATGTATTATTTTTTCGACCAACATCAATCAAATCTTCTTTCTACCAAAGAGCGTCCTATCTTTCTTAACAAATTAGGACTTAACTGAACATCAGAATAGTATTGAAGTTAAGTTGGACATATAATGAATATGGAAGTATTACCGCCGAGAACCCTTCCCACTTTCA